AAATCTTCTTGTTGGTGGGCTCTAAGAGCCCAGGAAAATTTTCTTTGAGCCCCTGTGGGCTTTCTGTTCCATAAATAGAGTTATAGAGTCAGTCTGAAAGGCAATTTTGTGCAATTGTTTACCAAAGAGGAGGAGAAAAGTCATTACAGTCCTCCTTCTGAGGTTCGCAAGTAATAACCAAGCTAAATCTTCACTCACTCTAAGCCCAGAAAAGCTGTGTGGGCTTGATGAAGAGCTGCGTTTGGCCCAACTGTAGCTCTAAACAGATGCCTGTAAATATTGCAGGAAAGGAGTCCCAGAAAGATGGTGGGAGTTACTCATGAGCACTTGGACACTTTTGTTGGCAAACATAGCAGCCGCTGCACCCCTTTTGAGAAACCCAGGCTGATTAGTGATCCAAAGTCCTTTGTTTTGCTGGTGACTGCATTAACTCTTGTGGCTTCTTTAAAGCAGTGGTTCTCAACTAGGGACGATTTTGTTCCCCACCCTTGTCATCCCCAGGGGACATCTGACAATGTCTACAGACATGTTTATTATCATTGCTGCAGCTGGCAGTAGGTGGATGCTGCTGGTATCTAACAGGGAGAGGACAAGGATGCTGGTGGCATAGGGCAGCACCCCACCCCCAACCAGGACAAACTTGAGAAGCCATGACTTTTTCTTGGAATGGGGGAGAAACCCTATCTTTTTTTTTCTTTTTGGTAGTACTGGGGTTTGAACTCAGTGGACTTATGCTTGCTAGGCAGGTGCTCTACCACTTGAGCCACTCCACCAGCCTGATAAATCTGTCTTAAAGTAATATCTTTTTTTAGTATAGCTTGTTCATTCATTTACTTATGCATACATTCATTTAACAATGTTTTTTTCCTTTTTTTTTTTGAGACAGGGTCTTGCTATGTAGCCTAGGTTGGCCTTAAACTTTTGGTCCTCTTGCCTCAGCCTCTCAAGTACTGGGATTACAGGTTACCCATAACCCCTTAGTAAGTTTTATTCTCTTTTCTTTAATGGTACTGGTAAACTGAGGGCCTTGTGCTTGCTAGGCAAGCACTCTATCACTTGAGCCACACCCTCAACCCTTTTTGTTTTGTTTGTTTTTCTGATAGGGTCTCTTGTTTTTGCCTGGGCCAGTTTAGACCACAATTCTCCCAATCTGCATTCTTGTGTAGCTGGGATTAAAGATATGAATCCCCATATCTGACCCCAATTTTTATTCTCTCTCTCTCATTTTTTTTTTTTTTGAGATACTGGGGTTTGAACTCAGGGCTTCCCATTTACTAGACAAGTGCTCTGCTGCTTGAGTCACAATTCCAGTCCCCAATATTTATTCTTTTTTTTTGCAGTACTGGGGCTTGAACCCACTCCTATTTTTGTGAAGGGTTTTTCGAGATAGGGTCTCTCAAACTATTTCCACAGGTTGGTTTCGAACTGTGATCCTCCTGACCTCTGCCTCCTGAGTAGCTAGGATTACAGGTATGAACCACAGGCACCTGGTCCAATATTTATTCTTAAGCAAAGGAAATATCTAGGCAGTCATATTTCTGAGTGCTGACAGATTCATTAATTCATTCCCACAATGTGGACCTTTGAGCAACTTCTCTGCCAGGGACTTGGGGCTGAAACAACACAGCATGGGTTTTCCTCACATAGTGTCCCTTTGAGCGGAAGGAAGGCAAGCCTCTGAACAAGTCAACAAATACATGCACGTCACTTCAAGCAGCAATCAGTATCAAATGAGGGAAAGTGAGAGAATAATGGGGCAGAGGAGGCTTCTTTTAAGAGGTAGGGGAAGGAAAGGCCTGTCTGCATAGGTGACATGGGAGCAGAGACACAAATAATGAGAAGCAAGCAGATTGAAAAGACTGGGAGGAAGAGTGTTTAAATAGAGGAAGCAAATGGTTGAGAGGCTCAAGATAGGGATGGCATGTGTGGTTCAAGGACCAGAAGTCCTTGAAACTGGGGTACAGGAGGGGAAGTAGAGGCAGTGAACTAGAGGAGACAGTGGCAGAGTGGGCAAGGGTGGCTGATCTGTGAAAGGGCTTTAAGCTGTGTTTCAAGTTCCAAAGGAAGCCACAGGGGAATGTGGTCCAGGTTAGGTATTACAAAGTCGACTCAAGCAGCAGGGCAGAGAGTACCTGGGAGAAGGCAAGACGGAAGTGAGGGACCAGGAAGGAGGCTCCTTATAGGAGGGAGTGCCGTATAGACCTAGCACCAACAGTGTGGAGGGAAGGAAGAGTGGATTCGAGGTAAAGTCCCAGAATGACCCCCAGCTCAGTCGAGCAAGCTGCCCATTGTGGCTGTCTGAGTGGGGACAAGTGCTGGTAGGGCACCTTTGGTTGGTATCCTCAGTGGACTCCATCCTTTGACAGATCATCACTTAACTCTAGTGTACCCTGAATTCTGGGGATCCCCTAGCAATAAAGGTGGTGCTAAGTCCTGATGACTTATGTGGGCTTGCAAACTTTTTCCCAGGCTAGATTCAAACTGTGATTTTCCTATTTCCACCTCCCAAGTAGATGGGATTACAGGCATGAGCCACCACACCCAGCCAAGCCTTCCTCTTTAAGAGTCACTCAGCAACAGGCATTCTGAACAGACATCATATCACTCATGCCAAAGTGGTGAAAATTGGTTCTTGGGGGATGAAAAAAATCTTACTTGGTTAATGTATAAACCATAGAACGTAAATATACACAATATTAAAATATCATGGAGAGGTTGATTAGGCCAAAAGTCTCTAAAATTATCCTTAGGGGTCCTTCTGTGTGGGAATGAAGTCTCCCCACTCTACTCACCAAAGGTTCTCCTAAAGCCTCTTCTCCCAAAAGCTTATTACAGTTGTCAGTTATCCTGTGTGTTTTTGTTAACTTCAGTGTTTTTAGCTGGTATTATAGGTGTGCTCCATCATGCCTGGCCCTCCCTTTTGGATTTCAACCCTCGATTAAATGCTACCAGATTTGTTGGGCCCTGAGTTTAAGCCTAAGTACCTTCTCTGTCCTTTGGATGCATTAATCTCATAGTGCTGGTCTCCCTCTGTCCCCTGAACATCGAGAACCCCGTATCTGTGTGGCACAGCTCTTCCCTGTTCCATGACATGCCATGGTGAATATCATACGGATGTCTGACTCACTAAATTAAAAACATTTTGAAGAAAATGATACCAAGAGGTTAACCATCCTGGCCATTGCCCAGCAGAAAGCATGCATTATTGCTTGATTTAATTTAGCAATAAATTGAATCAACACACACGTCACAACAGACAAAAGACTGGAAGGAAGCAACCCAAATGTTCACCACACTATCCTCCTCCGGGATGTGACTTGCAATTTTTTTTCTCCTTGTGGCTTTGGTTAATTTAGGAATTTCCTGTCATGAGCATGTATTTATCTTATAAGACACAGGTATTTTTGGTGGCTTGGTTTTTCCACCTCTTTTTTATTTTTGGCAGTACTGGGGCTTGAACTCAGGACCTTATGTTTGCTAGGCATGTGCTCTACCACTTGAGCCAGTCCCCCAATTCTTTTGCTCTTTATTTGGGGGGACTGGAGTTTTAACCACTTGAGCCACACCTCCAGTTTGGTGACTGGGTATTTAAATACTTCAGTATTAGACAAACTTGTAGATGTCATAGGGGCCAAAGGTCCAGTGCCAGTTAACCCCAACAAGTCTTTTGGGGGTTTCCTATTTTTTTGGCATTATTAAGGTTTGAACTCAGGGCCTATGCTTAGCAGGGCCATGCATTTAAGCCATGTCTCCAGTCTTTTTTGGCTCTTAGTTGTTTTTTGGAAAGGGTCTTCTGTTTCTGTCCAGGGCTGGCCTTGGACTACAATCCTCTTCTATATGCCTACCACACAACTGGGACCTTCGGTGTATACCTCTGTGCTTGGCTTGTTGGTTCAGATGGGTTCTCACTAACTTTTTGCCTGGGCTGATCTTAAATAGTGATCCTCCTGATCTCTGCTTCTTGAGTAGCTGAAACTCCAGACGTGAGTCACCAGACCTGGCCTTTTAAGGGGTTTTATAAGCTTAGAGAAGTCATTGAATTTGGGCCAGCTTAGTCCATCAGACAAACAGCTTCTCAGAAGCACACTCACTTCTGCCCCATAGAACTTAGGATTTGCTACACTTTTTAAAGGTGCCTTTGACTCTCAAAAGTACCTGTGCCGTGGGTACTTCATCCATGAAAAATGCAGCCAAACCAACCAAATCCATATCCTACATGTTTTAAAATATTCTCGGTGACTTCATGACTTAGGAAGATTTCTTAGTGAGCTGTCACATGAGGCCCAGGCCACATCCTTCATTCGTCCTTCCAGGGAGCTGCTATGACTAACTTCCCAATGCTCAACTATTCCTTTATCTGGAGGATTGTCTAGACCTTACCTCCCTGTCAAGTCCCCCATGAACCAATACAATACATTCATGCTTAGCGTCCTTAAAGGTTACACCCAAGTTCTCCATTCATTCCATGAGCAAGGAAGGTTTTCAAATAGTAGGACTTTTGGCAGATCCATTAACAAAAAGACTCAATTCCACACCAGACCCAATAATTCATCAAGAATTATAATGTCCATTGTAACACCTGAAAATGTCTCTCAGGGACTCAGAACACCCGGGCTTAGCAACAGAACATTTCCAACATTTAACTCTAGTTCACCTTGACCTCAATGTCCTAAATACTCATCAGATGACGATATGCATGAGGCTATAAAAACGTAACCGAAGTGAATTACGTGCATCTGTCCAAATTCCCGTCCACCTGGGAAAGATGGGTTCATGTCAAAAACAGTATGGCGAGATACATGCTTTGAGGAGCACTGACTTAAGGTGGTTCTTATATCAAAGCACTGTACTATGGTGCAATGACTTTGGGACCCTGGTTCAAAACAAACCAACCACTTGGAGAAAAATCACTTAGTTCAATATTGTACTTGGCTGCCTAAACCTGCCAAAATCGAAAAAAGAAGTAGAAGTAGTTTGCTGAGGAGAAGCCCCACTCTTACCTCCTCCAGGGCCCACAAGGAGTCCACCACAGGCTTGATCTTCTTCTGGTTGTAGAGTCCTATGAGCTTGTCCACCACGCCTCGAATGAGGCCCGCTCGGCCCTGCTTGAAGAGCAGGTTCAAAAGGGAGAAGCCAGCAATGACTTTGTTCTCTTCATACAACTTGATGGGGTTCACCTTCTCCACCTGCCACCACTGGAAGAGAGATGATGCCAGGTGACAAAGACTCAGTCCTGGGCCATAGGTGCAGACTGCTGATGTTATTGATTTGGCTGGGCAGTATATGGCTGCAGCTGGGCACATCCCAGCTGGATAGGACGCAGCTCTTGTGGGGGGTTTTTGAGCATCTATTTTACTGGGCATAGCTGTGAATGTACAGGATACAATAGATAGTGCTGTCTACAACCAGCTCAGGATCTAGGGAGAAGAGAGAGCCTCAATCCAAAAATCCGAAATCCAAAACTTTCTGAGCACTAACTTGATGCTACACTCCTGACCCCATGTCCCGGGTCACAGTCAAACTCAGGCATGGTAAAAACACTGTACACAGTTACCTCCAGGCTACATTTCTAAGGCACATATGAAACATAAATAACTTTCAGGGCTGGGGGCATGGCTCAAGTGGAGAGCGTGTGCCTGGCAAGCTCAAGGCTCTGAGTTCAACCCCTGTACTGCCAAACAACAAAAAATCTGAAAAAATCCAAATTCTGAAATACTTCCGAACCCATGCATTTTGGATAAGGGGTCCTCAGCCTGCACCAGCCCACGTGTAGTGGAAACATGAGGTATTGGTTGGGTCATCAGCTCTGGAGTTGAATCCCTGACTCCATACTGTTACTCCTTGCGGTTCATTTTTCTCAGCTGACCACAAGGGCAGACAACTGCCTCCAGTGTTTTCTGAGAGAATTCAGTGCAAAGCACATGGCTTAGTGAACGGAGAGCTTCAGAAAGTGTTGGGGGACATGGTGGAGGTGACCACTTTGATTCCAGGAACTGTTTGCTTTGGGGGCATATATAGTAGAGAACAGTGGCAAGTCTAAACCTGAACAGGTGGGCAGAGCAAAGAAGGGTGACTTAGGAAGAGGGAACAGAGTGAAGGAGGGATGAAGCCAAAGTACTGGGACTGCACGAATGTTCTCAGATGGGTGGCTCTCTCCTTGGGACATTTGGGAATGTGAGGGCACTGGGGTTGTGGTTACTGAGAGTAGGAGGCATTGCTGGGGTCTCTTAGGCAGAACCCAAGGATAATGCTGAACTCCCACCCTGTCCAGGATAGCCTCCACCACAAAGAATGATCCAGCCCACGATGTCAACAGCACTAAAGCTGAGCAGCCCTGGACTAATGCCTTCGGTGGGTGACCCACCACTGGTCAATGTGGCTGTCTCTTTCCCACTTTCACCTCCCCACTACAGACATCAAAATCAGCACACAATCCAGTAACAGCCGACAGACCACTCTGTTTGCAATGAATGGCTTTTCCTTTGGTGCTGGCTATAGGTTAGAAATTCAGACTTGCAGTTTCTGGAGAGGTAAAATGTTTACTGTCTCTTTCAACCTAGAATGCCAGTAGGAAAGTGAGGAGCTCTTATGGACATTTATGATACTTATGATACTTATGTTATCAGGTGCTTTTTTCAGTTTGCCTCTTTCCAAAGGAAGAGAAGAGGCTCACAAAAGTAAAAGATCTTGATTTTTTTTTTTTTTTGGTGGCACTGGGGTTTGAGCTCAGGGCTTCATGCTTACCGGGCGGGCACTGCTCCTTGAGTCAAAGCCAAGCTCCAGCGTGTGTTTGTTTGTTTTGTTCTGATTATTTGAAAGATAAGGTCTTGTTTTTTTGCTCAGGCCAGCCTGCACTGTGTTCCCTCTAGGTACACTTCCTAGGATGACAAGTTTCTAGGATGACAGGCTGCATCACCATACCCAGTTTTTCTGTTCAACTTTTTTTGCTTGGGCTGGGTTGGAACCTCAATCCTCCTGATTCCAGTTTCCTGAGTAGCTGGGATGACTAGTGTGAACCACAGTACCCAGCTATTGGTTGAGATGGGGTCTCACAAACCCTTTTACTTAGGCTGGCCTTGAACCACAATCCTCCTAATTTCAGTCTCTCTAGTAGCTAGGACTATAGGCATGAACCACGCACCTGGCAAAGATTTTGATTTTTTTTTTAAATTGGAGAAACCTGTGTGAGGAACACAAATGAGCAAGACAGGCTGAAAACAAAATTCTTTACCAAAGTACATTGGGCAAGGCTGAGCAGGGAGGCACCAGCTCTGGAAGAGCATATGTTTGGACACAAACTTCTGGTCACAAAACAAAGGCAGAAGAGTGATTCCTCCTTTGATTTACAGCCTACCTGCAGTGGCTCGTGAATGGCTGTGGAATGAATGTTGGTTGAGTCCACAATGGCTGCACAGTGTGCTTAAGAAAGTTGTAGACTTGAATGCCCTTACTAGCTGTGTGACTTTAGGCTAGACACCAACTCTCTCTGTACTCAGTTTCCTCACTGTATCTTTTGGGACAGCTAGGGCATAGAAGGAACACACAGCAGTGTCTAGCATGTACTAGGTGCTCTGTACACATAAACAGTTTTTTATTATCATCTTCATGTGAAAGGGATGGGTTTGATTTAGAGCATAAGAGCTCCAAATTTGGAGTCAGATTGCTTTCTAAATGTTAGCCTCATCTATAAGCACCATCATTATGATGGCCCCAAAGCAAATGGCACATCTGACAAAGAATGAAGCATAAGCTCTGTGGCAGTTATGAAATGGAGCATAATTGAGACAGCTGGGTGAGAAATCTATAGAGGATTCTAAATATGCCTTTCTTGAATGTACAGAAAAGCCTTTTTTTTTTTTTTTTTTAAAAAAAGAACTTTTTGGAGCAAAGTCAACACCCCAGTCCCTGGCATGCCTTCTTTGAATCGACCTCTGATAGGAAATAACTTTCACTCATGACCTCCAGCTACATCTTGGCTGTGTTTTTATCAACACCTTTACAGAGCCTGGGTGCAATGCAATTATTTCATCAGCACAGTGAGTTGGGATCGTGCACTAAGGGAAAATGCTTCCTACAGTCGTCTGGGATCTGGGACCAGCGTGGTTCTCCAGTGCTGTCTGTTCTTATCCCATGAATGCCAGTCATACCAATGAAGTAGCTGTGAGTGGCACAAAGGCCGTCTTCAGGGCCACGCGGCAGACTGCATCCCTCAAGAGGCCCCACTCCTGCTCCTGTGGTTCCCGCAGGCCTTTGGTTCAAAGCCCAAAGGGAAAAAGAAGTCCTTTAATTCTAATCTCACAGGTGCAAGGAGTAGTAGCCTCCCAGAATCAGGGCCATTTTTTGGGGGGGGAGGGGTTCTGGTAGCCAGTGTTACCATGTAGGGAGCATGGGAATCCCTGGTGGCACCACAGAGAGAATGAATTCTGATCTCCTTACTCTAGCTCTTCCTGACCACTGTGTTCAAACTGCCCCCACCCCACCCTGCTGTCTTCTATTTCAGTGTCCTGTTTCTATCACCTTCTGAAGCTTGACAGCAATTTACACTAGTGTCTTTAATGTCTTACTTATGTTACATTTCTCTCCCTCAGTAGACTATAAGAGCCATTAGGGCCCCAAAAGCACCTATCTCATTCGCGGTGATGCCTGGTGCAGTGACACACACAGCTCATAAAATGCTTGTGCAGCAAGCATTGATAGATTGATAAGCCTGTCAATGTGGCATTGGTGACACAGGAGTCTGAGAGCGGAGGGGATACAAGCAGGAATGTGTGAGAAGCAGCAGTCCCCCAAGTTAGGTTAATTCCGGCATGCATGGCTGTAGATGGGTATACATGTAAGCAGGCACACAGTGGGTAAGTGCCCAGACATAAGCCTTCTCAGTAGCAGACAGACAACCATGAATTCAGAGCTTGTTGAAGTTTGTGGGATCTCCATTTCTGTTTCCAACTCAGTGGGATGGGGACACAGAAATTTCAGGTGCCCCTAGAGACTTGGCCAGAAAACAGCCAAACTGAAAAGCCAGGCACTCCGTGGAACAAATATAGTGCACTGAAGCTGAGTTCATTTTTGACTGATGATTGCAAACACCAACACTCAAGCAATCTCTGTTGAAATAAAAATCAAGCTTTCTTTCATTTTATTGACACTCCTGCCTCTCTGCTTCGTTTACATGAATAATGCAAGTCCCAGTCATGGCAATGTGCAATGAGCAGGGTGGAGATGCAGGCTTTATTGAAAATGAGTGATGCAAACGATGCACAGACACTTGACCAAGGTCTCTAGATGGGCAGCACACACCGTGCAAATCAACAGAACTGTAGCACATTAGACATGCGTGGATACTTACTGATTTTGCAAAGCTGAAGAAGCTCTTGGTTTCTCCAGTTACCATGTTGGATGAACCTGGCAATGAAAGAGTCCCAAATCAGGCAATTGCTAATGAAAATCAACATCTCTGGTTATGCATGGGAGGACGGCAACTAACTGTTTGGTACAGAACTGGCAAAAGCTTAAAAACAAGACAAAGGGCTGGAGCCATGGCTCAAGTGGTGGAGCACTTGGCTGGCCAGCACAAGGCTCTGAATTCAAATCCTAGTAACCACCAAAAACCAAAAAACCAAACCAAACCAAAAAAAAATTCAGCCTGAGAAAAATGAAGGACTCAGATTGGGGCATCTAGTTGACTATTTAGTGAGGTATCATTGAACCTAAGAGGAAGTGACATTTCTCATGGTGACTGTTTCATTATTTTGGAAACCTGGGCATGCCACACAGAGTGATTAGGCCAACATGTTAATAAAATGATGCGTTGCTGAAGCATCGTCTTGGTTCTGTTCTTTGAGACCGAGAAACGAGGTCCTGTGGGAAATGGCTTTATGGATCTGAATTTGATTCCCTGACAAGTGAGAGGCTTAGGGCTCAGACCTGGACAGGACACTGAAGTGGAGGAGGGGAATTTGGATGGATGGAAAGATGAGTTATAGAAGAAGGCAGGAGAGGGTAAAAATAGGTTCAGAAGCTGAGAAAATGGTGTTGCCACTGTGTTACCCCAAAGACACCTGGGAAGAGAGGTGTAAACCACTTGTGATAAATGATATGAGAAACTGGGTTTTGACAATTGGAGCAAACAATATTCAGATAGCAGATGGAGGTAGATTTGGCAAGTTCCCTAAGATGCACAGACAGACAGAAAAGACCCTTTAATGGTTCCTGGGGTGGGGGGAGGTGAGGGAAATCTCAAAAACATCGGGAACATGACCATATTACATCAGTGCTTTGTCAACCACTTTCCTGGCTTCTCACCAGAGATTTGGAAGCATGATCTTTTCTTAGAAACAGTTGTTTAATGAAAAAACAATGTATTGTATTTTAAACTATTTGACCTCAGTAAACTAGTAGCCAGTTAGTTAACCAGTACTTCTGCTTCTGCAGGTGACTACCACCAGGCACCACAGCACTGGCCTCTTACTTAGTAATCAAATAAGCAGTGCAATGAATTAGATAAAGGTGAGTTAGTCAAATTGAAGTTCGTCCAAATGACATCATGGAACTAGGGCAAAAATAGAACTCCCAATAAATGATAAGGAAGGATGAATAAATTGTCATCTGTGTTTTGTTAGTCATATCCAACATCCTGATATGTCAGTTGACCTCAGAGGTTTCTCTCTTCAATAACAATAACAATATATTATGTATTCACTTCCGGGGAAAAGTATGCAGCCAAGATAAAAATGATCAGAAGGCTTTAGCAATGGGATATTTCCTGTTGCTGGCGGATTCAACTCTATCTCTGCTCTAATGGTCTCATGACAACCCAAAGATATTTAGAGTCCTCAAGTACCACTGTATCTCTTTCATAAGCTCCTCAGCTAACAGCAGGGACATGGGTTAAGGCTCAATTTCTATGGTATCTGCAGGCACGTGGTGCCAAGAGTCTCAAACATCAGGTAGCCTCAGCATCATTGTGCTTTGGAATGTGACATCCGGCTTCATATATACCTTTTTGACATAGCGTGGACTGATGTTTAAATTAGTTTTACGTATGGGATAGCGGAGAAGAAAGAGAAGAGGAAGGGAGGTCCTAGAGTCTCGTTTTGCTGGGAAAAAACTTGTTCCTAGTTGTTTTCACAAACCTCCTGTGCGCCAAAGAGGACAGAACTGGATGTAGAAACAGAGCACCTGGGAACAGACCTGTGCTCCACCCGTTCGGGGCTCACGTCTTGCCTGGGGCACTCAGCTGTAGTTTAGAAGGAGGAGACCCTGTACTTTGTAACTTCATCAGTAAAGAATCCCCCAAACCTCCCCACTCTTCACCCTGCCATGGTCCTCCACGCCTTCGCTTTCTGAACTTCCTTTGAAGCCTTTAGTATTCTCCACCTATCCCACCTTCCGTGGGTCAATTCCTACTCATCTCAGCACTACACTGGCTTGGCCTTGTGTTAGCCCTTTGAAAAATGACAGGATATAGGGAAGCAGGCACATAGTTATTTTTTATAAGTGACAACACCTAACAGCAGTGTCAATATGCTAAACATATTAAAATTAAATCCACCCAAGCCCAACGCATCAGCACATTTCAGCTTTCAGAGTCTGCCATAGGCACTAGTGCAGTGCTCCCTGTCACTCTCCCTGTCACTCTCCCTGTCACTCGCCGTGCCTTGTTCCGTGCACACTCACCATATAAAATGTAGGTCCCCACAGGTTTGAGAAGACTGAGACCTTTGCCAGTGTTGTCTCCACAGAGGCAGTCCAAAACGATGTCCACGCCTTCAGCAGAGATCCTAAATGGTAAGAGAACAAGTGAAATACTGTTACCTGTCAAGGACCAAACTGCGGAGGGCTTTTGCTTCCTGTGCCGTATGGGGTGACTCCAGAATGGAAATGGCTAGCACTCCAGGAGGTGGGTTGATCCTCTGAGTCTAGCCACAGATGTTCCTAGACTCACCGTGGCGATAGCTCCTGGGAAACCTATTGTAAGTTGAATATCACGATTGTAAATTCACTGAGTCCACCTAACCTAGTAAGTATCCTAGCTCAGCAACACATGACACTGTAGAAGCCAGTGGTTCCCCTTCTGGCTGTGTAGCTGACTGGGAGCTGTGATTTCCTGCAGCTGCCCAGCATCGGAGAGAGGGTCGTCCTGCATATTGCTACCCCTGGGGAAAGATCAAAACTCAAAATCTGATGCATGATTGCAACGACATGTGTATTGCTTTCATGACAACTTAAAGTCAAAAAGCCCTAAGTCAAGCTGGGCACCTGTGGATCAAGCCTGTAATCCTATCTGCTTGGGAAGCTAACGTCAAGAGGATCACTGTTAGAGGCTAGCCTGGGCAAATAGCTCAGGCTATTTGAACCAGCAGCTGCATGTGGTGGTATGTGCCTGTCACCCCAAGCTATGAGGGAGGCTGATCCTGGGAGGATCATGGCTTCAGGCCAACCCTAGGCAAAAAGGATTGTGAGACCCCATCTTAACAGAAGCACACTGGGCATGATGGCGTGTGGCTGTCATCCCAGCAATGGCAGGAGGTGTGAAAATAGGAGGACTGTGGTCCAGGTAGGTCTGGGAAAAAAGTGAGACCTTATCTCCAAAATAACCAGAGCAAAAACGGGTGGAGGTGTGGCTTAAGCAGTGGAGCACCTGCCTACTAAATGTACACCTCTGAGTTCAAAACCCAATACCAACCCCTGACAACCCCACCCCGCAAAAAAAAAAAAAAAAAGGCCCTGAGTGAAACCATTGTAAACCAGGGACTATCTGTACAAAAATTTCACAAAGCTGGAGGCAGCTGAACCTCTGACTGGTAGCTGATACCAGGAGAGAGCCTGGGGGAGAAGAACAAACTCAGGCATTGGAGTCAGACTGAGTTCAAACCTCACTGCCTCACTCAACTCCCTAGAGCCTTAGCTTTCTCCTTTGCAAAGTGGAGCTAGCATGTTTCTTTGTGGTAAGAATTTAATGAGGTGACAAATGAAATGATCTAGGCCTACAGTAGCACAGTCATTCAGTCAATCAGTCATTGATCTAACTGGTGGGCTTCCATTGGTCCAGTCTCTAGGTACAAGCTAAAACTGATTCTTAGGGGTAGTGGAGTAAACAGAGAGGACCTTCCTTCAGCACGGACGACTGTGGAGTAGAGATAATCCTCATCTTAGTCCACCAGACAGACAAAACAATGGTGGATCTGTTCATGTGTTTATCCACCCATTGGTCTACTCACTCAATAATGAACAGACCTTTGCTGGGATTGTGCTACTAAGATATTACATGGGAGGAGGCTGTAGAACACGAGGGTTCTGGAGATGGTAGGGAGGGTGTCCTGACCACAGAGACCCCCGGGTGGCTCGCCCTGCTCTGTTCAGACACGAGTGCCATTCTTCAGTTCTGTGAACATGTAGGATTATTTTGTCCTAGCAAATGTTTCATTTTTTCTATCTATCCTCACCCCAGCAAAGTTCATGTACCACAGCACATATCCACCGCTGGGTCCCATTCCGTAGTGCAGCTGCACCTCCTGCCACATGACCCCACAACAGCTGGGTGTTCACGTAGATATGCCTTTTAAAAGCCCTCAAGTCACGTGCAAAGTCCATTCTATCACCAAGATTCATCTAGAGTGACTAACTGCTTCTGGGCTAGTAATAGAGAGCCCTTACCTGCATAGGTGTGTCCTCTTTTTTTTTCAGTGCTGATTGAACGCAGAGGCTCACGATTGCTAGACAAGTGCTCTGCCACTTGAGCCATATCCCCAGCAGTCCTTTGCTTTTTTTTGCCTGGGCTAGCCTCAGACCTTGATCATCCCACCTCTGTCTCTGGAGTCATGGGATTGCAGGCGCGCATCGCCACGCTTGGTCCATGGTGTGTCCTCCTAAGTTTTACTTGGAAGTTCACAGCCAGGAAATCAGAACAGTGGATCTCAAACCTAAGTGTGCACTGGATCTTGGGGATCTTATAAAAACACAGCCTGCAGCTGGACACCAGTGGCCCACACCTGTAATCCTGGCTACTTGGGAGGCTGAGATCAGGAAGATTTCAGTTTAAGGGCAGCCTGGGAAAACAGTTCATGAGACCCCTTCTCCAAAATAACCAGGTCAAAATGGTCTGGAGGTGTGGTTTAAGTGATAGAGCACCTGCTTTGAAAGTCTGAAGCCCTGAGTTCAAACCTAGTCCCACTTAAAACCAAAAAGACAAAACAAAACAAAACAAAACCCAGCCAACCAAACAAAAAAACCCTGCACAAAACCCCACAGCCTGCAACCCTCCCCCATTCTCACCTTCTGTGAGTTCCTGGTTCAATGGGTCTGGGCTGTGGGCCAGGATTTTCACTTCTAACAAGTTCTCTGGTACAGCTGCTGCTGACTCCACATCCACACTTTCAGAACCACTGATCTAAGCCAACTTCAGGAGCCAAATGGACATTTTTAAATTCATTAATTTTTTCATTCGATATATAGCACTGAGCACACTGCACTAGATACTGGGAGATGAGGAAGGGAGCCCAAATAGTCTTAGTTCCTGCTCCTTTTGGAATTTGCATTAGGCAGACATTCACCAAAGATACGAACAAAAATTAAGTTGCAACAGTCTAGTGCTGTGACACTTGGTGAACTGGAGACGCCAGTGAAGGCATTCCTGGGGAAGCGGAGGAGTTAGCTAGGAAAGGAGTGGAGGGAATAATGTTCCAGGCAGAAAACAGCATGTGTAAAGGCCCTGTGGTAGGTGGAAGCCTGGGAAGCAGCCAGTGTGGCTACAGTAGAATAAAAGAGAAACTTGCCTCTAGGAGGGGTTGGACAGACAGGTAGGCTCTAGCTTTGCCTCACACCTGTGATATCACCGAGGGCTGAGTAACTCTGCTCCAGTCTCCCTCACTTCCGCTTGGGTCTGTTTCCTTTTAAGTTTCTCACTTCTGTGGGGGGAGGAATCTGCTCTGCTTTACCAGCCAGACCTTCTGGGTCCCTGAGTCTTCCATGTGATCTCCATGTCCCCCCAGACCTCATGTCTTACCTGCAGGATGTCCACCCAGCATCCTGGGGATCTGCCCAGCCCTGGTTTTTCTCTTCCTACCTGACACTCTTAGTGTCTGTCCTCTACTTGTGGGTTCACATTCTGTCCCCAGACTGCCAGTCATACCTCCTGGACTAGCTGCCCTGGTCTGGCCTGCTGCTCTATCATCTGGACTCTGGTTCTGCCGAAATGCAAGGCACGCCCTCAGCCCAAGGTTGCCTGTAACCCCTGCCAGTTACAGATGAGATGCCATCTCATCTCCTGCAACTGCTCAGGCGTTTTGGCCTTCTGACTGTTTAGAATTTTCCTACCTCAGGGCCTTTGCACTTGCTGGAATCTCTTCCTGGAGAGCCTTTCCCCAGTTGGCTTTGTCATCAGCCTCTCATCAGTCACATGTCACGCACATGTGACTTTCCCCAGAGGAGCTATAACTGAGCACCTCACCTGGAGCGGCAGCCCCCACTCTTAACAAACTCTTCTTTAGTCCCCTTTATGTGCTTGCCTAATCTGGAACTACTTTTTTTAGTATCTATCATCAGATAGAATTATTTTATTTATGTGTTTCCTTATTTGTTGATTGACTGTTTCACCAATATATAAGCCCCAGGATTCGGGGACCATTTTTATGGTCTACATATGATAGCTGTAGCCTGTCTACTCCTGCCGGACAAAGCATTGGTTTCCAACAAATGTCACCTGACTGAATGACCCGAGTGAGAGACCGTATGGAGAAGACAGTAAGACTGGCCTCTTGTATCTCTGCACATTGGCTTTCTTGGAAAGGAAGCTCACATTTCAGAGCTTTACTCTATACCAGCAACCCCATCATTAATCCTACAACAAGCCTGTGGGCCAAGCCATTTAAATCTTGCCCCACCGCCCCACCACCCTTTCTTTTTGAGACAGAGTCTTGCTGTGCAGCCCAGGCTGGCCTCTAACTCATGATCCTCCCACCTCAGCCTCCCTAGTGCTGGAATTACATGGAGTGCACCCCCAGGCCTGCTATAATTCTACTTTTTTGATAAAAATTGAGACTTCGAGCTGTGGCAACCTCGCCCAAGCTTCTGTTACTAGGACAGCTGGAATCCAAGCCTACTTCTATTTTAACCCAAAGCTGATGACCTTTTCGCTCTCTGAATTTAAGACTTTACATCAAACATTCGAGCCTGTGTAATTATGAAGTGTCACGTTCGCAAGCAGCTCTGGGAAAGTCTGTTGAATTTAAGTCTTTGAGGGATTCAGGCTTAAATTTTGTCTTAAGTAAATATGCATAAATCCAGGGCTGTATTATGTTATTCCAAGAGGTTTCAATTTCACACATTCTCTCTTCCCTCCCCAGATTATAGGACAGGTCAAGGTCACTGTCCTGCTCAACTGGACCACCTTTTGCCTGCCAAGTGTGTACTGCATTCTGGGCGAAGGGTGTGCTGGGCTGGGCAAGCACAGAGAAAAGCTCAAGTTCACCCCCCATCCAGGAGCTGTGGGCTACCAGGGCAGTGCTGCGATTCGAGCACCCAGCCCCCCCGATCGTGCCATCTGTGGGACACTTAGACACCACTGTGACAGTTCTGAGGGAGACTTGGAAGAGGTGGTTAGGCCTCAAGTGCTCCACCACCCCGTGGGTCAATGTGCTATCACGGACTGGGCTCATTTCTGTGGGAGCGGGTTCCCCGTACAGGACGAGTTCACCCTTCTCATCTTGTTCCCCATCCCACTCCTCTGCCACACGTGGAAGTGTTCCCATTCCGCTGCTAGGGAAGACGTGCTGCCCAAGGG